AAAGAAAAGAAAAGAAAAGAAAAGAAAAGAAAAGAAAAGAAAAGAAAAGAAAAGAAAAGAAAAGAAAAGAAAAGAAAAGAAAAGAAAAGAAAAGAAAACAGTGTCAGCCTGTTTATTACAGTTCCTCAAGTGGGGTTCCAATTTAGGCTTGTCTGATATAAAGAGGGATTCACACTTACTGAAAGCTAATAAGCCAGCCTGACACCCATTTTGGATCAAACTTGAGCAGAGTTTCAAGTTGGATGGGAAGACACTGAGGATGAAGAAAATCAAAGAAAAAAGTAATTAGTGTCTATGTTACGGTATCGTATTTTCAGCACAATGTTTTGATATCATCAGCTGTGGAAATTCTCTGCAAAAGATTTTTTATTGTCATCTTACTTCAGGGACTAGAGTCTACAGATGGACAGGCAGAACAATACTCCCTCCTCACATGGCATATGCTTAGCTGGAAGTGGACAGTGGCTGCCATTTCCTACAGGGGCTGTGGTGACACTTCATTCTCCTGCTAAACAGATACTTGCATTTTTTTCACTAGGACTAGAAGGGTTAGATAGGTGGCTGGAAAAATCTGTAAAAAAGGATAAACCCATTAAAAGCATTCAGTTGGCCTACGTTCATGTCATCTGGAGAGGTAGAAGAGAAGAAAAGGACTTGCAATGACTGCATGTCAATATTAAAACCCAACAACTTGAAAATTATTCTGAAAGGGATATGTCAACCCAGAGGTAGTATGAAAATTTTAAAAATGTTGGAAGCAAAAGTGTTCCTTCTAGTGTCTCACTGAAATTTATTTGGTAATGTCCAATGAAACACTGAAGCATAGATGCAGCAAAACCATTTTTCTATTTTTAAAACTTTTCAGGGACTTCTTTATTAGCCTTATAATGGCATGATCCTCACTTTCCCTGCTCTTCTTTCCTTGTCTTGCCTCATAACATTGATGTATCTTCCCACTTACATTTGGGCAGACTCTGGTACAAACTTTGGAGATGAAAAATATGCCTGCTAAAAGTTTTCTGTGGGAAAAGATGAACTTCAAGATTTTCAGTGAGATGAATGGAAAGAAGAAGGTCAACAGAATCCCATCACTCCAGAGAGCAGATCAGTGAAGCACAGGGAAAATCAAGGTGTGTTGAGGTGTGCCCAATCCTTAACAGACTGTAAAGGGATTCTGAAAAGAGAGTGTGAAAAGGAAGAATGTGAGGAACTTTGAACTACAGCTCCCATGAGGCCACAGGAGACCTTGCACTATCATGGAAAACGTTGAGGACCCAACCCTTAATGTACCTTTACAGCATTTTTCTTTCAGTTGACACACTTTGTAACATTTTATTCTCAGAAAAGCATTATTATTTGCTCTTTCTATCTGTAAGAACTAAAGATGAAATAGACTTTCTGAAGACAAAAGCTCTGTTTTTCTGCAATCTCCAGTCCTGATGGCACAGTCTCACAATTATTTATTTTCTGAGGTCCCGTCTCATTTGGTGCAAATGAGCAGCACTGAATGAAACAAGATAGTCTTGTGAATGCCTGCCATTCTTTGAAATATGGAATTGAGAACCATTTGCAGAAATCAACATTATTTATGATCACCTGTAGAAACCCATTTTGTGTGTTTCTAATGAATTTGATCTATTTTTCTCTAAGATCATTTCTTTACTGGTAGAACTGACAGTTTTAAACAATTCTAAATGAACAGATCAAGAAATACGTAGAATAAATAGAATGTCCTGTGTACAAATGCTGATCCTGCTTCTTTAAGACCTTCATAATTCATCCATGCCTTCACAGTCTTGACTTATGGAGCTTTTATGCTCATGAGAGAAACATAATACTCACCCTTCATGGGTGAAATATTTTGTATGGGCTGAGGATTTTTCTCTACTGGTCCCTCTCTTAAAGGTCTGATGAGAAGTGTTTTTCAAGGGTTAGATTTCTTTACAGAAATCAGATCACTACAGATCACTGGCAAAACATAACCAGTTTCACTGTTCCAGGTTATCCTGACTTTACAGCTTTATTCCATATTTTTTTCATGCTCACATTGAACATGAAATACCAAGACATTTTGTATGGCATTTGGCTGAGGACACTGTACACAACTGTTTCCGGACACAGGTGTCACTGAGTACAGTATTTACAGGGAAACATGAATTGAGAGCTGATCTCCAGGCACCCTGAGGAAGAGACTCTCATGAATAGTTTGGGCCAGCAAGAGGGTGTCAGCACCTTGAGCCAGGTTCCACCGAGCTGAACTGTCTGCTCTATGTGACTGGTGTGAAAAATTTCAGATGAGATTTTGAATTAACTATTTCAGAATGGTAGTTTTGCAAGAATAAAGCCAAATAAAGTAGTCACGTCTCATCAAGGACTTATGAATAGTACCGGTACAATTTATTTATATGTAATTGGAATAGTTTAACCTCAGGCAGCGGCCAAGCCCCGCACAGCCCTTCCCTCCCTCCCCACCAGTGGAATTGAGGTGAGAAGTGGAATGGTAAAAACTAGAAAACTTGTGGGTTAAATTTAAGGCAGTTTAATACCACAAAAGCCACACCAAAAAAAGAAAACCAAGGAAATAATAACTGTAATCATAATGATAATTCCCTGATTCCCATGGCAGGCAGGTGCTCAGCCATCTCCAGGAGAGCAGGGCCCCTCACAGGTAATGCTTACTTGGGAAGACAAACATCATCGCTCCAAATGTCACCCCCCTACTCCTTCTTCACCCCACTTTTCCAGACCATGTGGCATACAAAGTGTATGCAAAGTGCAATTGCAAAATATGCGAAGTGTAAAAGTCAAAATATTGATTTTTGCCATGAACTACTGAAAGCAATAGATGCTCTTCAGAAATTTATGACTCTGGGCAACTTTGCGCCTCAGCTTACACTTACACACCTTACTGTATTAGTGATATTTTCAGACGTATTTTACAGCTCACATAATGCTCCGTTCGTTTTCAGAGAAGTTCTGGTGAACTTACATGTACAAATTATGGGACAAAAACATCAAAAATCTTGCATAAAATGTTTGAGTCTAAAACTGCAATTAAACATTGATACTATTTTGTAATGCAGAGTTGAAACTTTTTATCATTTTGGAGAAAGTTTATCTTTTTTTGTTCTGTTTCTCACTTTACTTCGAGCAGGTGAAAATGTATTGTGTAACACCTCATTAGATAATTACTTGATTACAATTTAATGTCTTCTGCAGAATCTTCCAGAACTAATTCACTTACAATGTAAAATTTTATATGGCCGGTATTATTAAGTTATTGTATTTTAAACAGATTGCATGAATATGATTATTTCATTAAACTACCAATTGTTCTTGTGTGTATGTGTGCTGGCAAGGAAATAATCAAATAATGGATACCAATGCCACCTTCTCAATTGCACACTACTCCTCAGCTATCTAACCTGTAATTTTAATGCAACATTTTCTCCTTCACTAACATAATCTGCAGTTATATTGAAATTATAGCTAAATTGTGCAAAAGTTAGAACATTTTGAAATGAAGGGTTAGGTAAAACTGGCAGTTCTTTGCACGTGCATAATTAAAATAAATTTTTACTATTGGAGGACTGTTCTAAAGAAGAGGAACAAGGTGAGAAAGAGCTAGCTAATCTCTTGATTCTTCTTGCACATCATCAGCAAGAAGACTTACTAATTTCTTTGTAATGACACCTATCTGGTGTAACCATTAACCAGTAAGGTGCCAGAAATATTGGAAAGCCATAAAATCCAAAGACCTAGAGTTCCATGGGTGGGAATGGACTCACCCAGTCTCTGAAGCCTTTATTTTGCGAAGAGCCTTGTTGAGTGAGTCCTTGGTCCTTTAGTAGGGGTTTGTGGTTGATTTTGATCCTGTTTTTAGGACAGACTGAGTGGTGTTTTCATGTTTCTCGTGGCGTACTGCAGGGAGAGAATGAGAGCTGGGATTCAGTGTGGCTGTAGAGCAGCAAGGAAGGGATGTGCCCTGGGGAGGAGAGTCTGAGTTTCCACCCCACAGGTTTACAGTGTTTGGAGTGTTCCAGGCACAACAGTTTATTCAGACAGGAGCAGGAGAAAGAAATTATAAATGGAAGACTAGAAAGAGAAGGAAAAAAAGGTGATGGGATAAAATACAGATCCTCAAAGTGTGAAATACTACACCGTAACAGTTTTTCCTTGTTCCTTTCACAGTTTTAAAAAGTCTTTAAACTTACTTAGAAAACACGATGCAAAAATACGATCTGGAGGAAACATTATAAATAATACATACGGTAAAAACTGACAAGGCTGGCCTTCATCTAGAATACTTAAAGGTAAAGAAGGGGGATAAATAAAATGCACTTATGTAGCAAAACCAGAAATGTCATCTGAAAATAAGATTAATTAAAACAAATACTTTTTCCTGCTTTCCTGTTGTCTGAAACATTTAACAGCAAGACCGGTATCAGATTTTTTGTTAACAGTTAAGCGGTTTTTGTTAAGGAAAGGTATTTTGCTCAAGGAAGCCAAGACTTAATCAGAGGTGGAAACTGAGCAGCACTCCCACCATTCAGATGACAGTGTGCCACAATGTGGGTCTGTGGGAGAAAGCTGTGTCAGGCTGGTTCTCCGTCTGCTCCGGAACTGCCCCACCAAGGGGCCGCTCCCTGCCCATCACAGACTGGCACGGGCACTGGGGCAGATCCTGACGGCGGATGGATGGTGAGCGGCACCGAGGGTAGAGACAAAGGAGTGAGAGGGGTCCTTTGTGACAGTCTCCAAACAGATTTATTCCCCCAAAGTGCACAGGAACGAGTAACCACCTTCGGTACTCGTGCAACAACTTATAAAGGGAGGAGGTCTTAGGGGTGGATACACGGCACCACCCAATCCAGAGGAGTCAGAGGAGGGGGCAGAGCACAGGGCAGGGATACATAATCTCACAAGCAATGAGGGCCAGGAGGGAGGAGAGCACCCTCCCAGAACCAATGGGAACTCAGGGATCACATCAATGACACAGAAGGTTCTGTAGGGAGAGGCTGGGTTTACACTACGTGACAGAGGGGAGGGGCAGGGTTACAACGACAGACATGGAAGTATCGGGAATAAGGGGCAGGTACTTGGACTGACAGACAGGGAGAGGGGAAGAAACAATGCTGGACTAACCCAACTGCAAGGGGGTAGGTGGGAACAAGCCATTTAAACAAATTGAACAAAACACAACAACGCTCAAAAGAAATACAATAAAAATGCACCACCACAACAGTGAAAGCAAATTAGTGAGGTGGAAGGAGGAACGGTATGGCATCATGTGGTTTTAAAATATTTATGTTGGTTCTGTTGTAAAGTTAGTTATCTTTTGTATTATTTAAAAAATGGTTCCATCCTCACTTTCCCCCATGTAATCCCCTCAGAATGGTTTCTCCCTAAGTTGTTTACCACCTGTTTTTCCCGCCAGTGGCTTGCCCCTCAAAGTGATCGATCCTTTGTTCCTCCCTCTATGCCCTTATGAGGTTCTTTTCACCTTCATGGTGCTGCCCACTTCCCCTGCCTGTCATTGTAACCACCCCCCCCCACCCCTTTATATTGTAAATTTTCAGTGTCAATCATCCCTAACCTGATACATGATTTGCCTCCGGGGCTTCTTCCCTCCCCTGTGTAATCCTCATAGGTTCAACTGTGTTTCACACTGCTCCCCTGACCTTTGCCTTTTGGTTGCTTTATGTCTCCTCCTATCACACCCACTCTCTTTATAAGTGCCTCCCCAGAACCTTCCTCTCTGACACTTGGCCTTGATCCCTTTCGGAAATAAAGTTTCCTTGGCATCTGCACAAGTGTCCACTCTCACCTCTCTTTGCTTCGGGAGTTCGCAGCACACTCTCATCTGTGCCACCCATGCCTCAATCGACACAACTACCCAGAGGTTCCCCGAGGAGAACCCGGGAGTGTCGACTCTTGTGGCCTCGTCTGGTCACAAAAGGAGCGGCCAGCTCCTGTGGCCTCAGAGTGAGCAACAGAACAGGATGTAGGATGATGAAGCCGGGTTGCCACCTCAGTTCCCTTTCTTTTTATTTTTTCTACCTGTTCCCTTGTCAGCAGCCTGTTGATATATTGAGCATATTTTTGCACAATCTATGATTTAACAGTAGTCAAATACTGTTTCTTAGAAACAAGAGCAACCTATGAAAATAAACACATCTGAATTTTCTTCCAACTTCTCCGATTTTTTTTCCTTAAAAATTGAAGTCAGTTGTTGTTGGAAGGAGGGAATGAAGAAAACACAATCTGGAGACAGCTGGTTACACTTTGGTTCACATAAAGTGCTCTTAATCCTTGCCATAGCACTGAGAAGTACATATTAAAGAAATGGACTGCATCAGATGTGGGGCCAGTAAGTAGGATTGTAGCTGAGATTTCTCAGCACTTCCTTTTGTTATAGCAGTATCTTTGATTTCCCTAATTGCCTATAACTCAGATGCAATCCTGTGGACTGACACTTAACATTGTCATGTTGAGCACATACATCAGCTAGAGTTACTGAGTAGAAATTTCCAGCAGCAGAAGTTCAGGTAGTTCAAAGAGGAGGAAATTTTTTCAGTGCCGTTTTAAAGTGTTATGGGAATTCCTTTTCAAAATGAACATATACATAGAAAGGAATCATACTGAGGCTGCTCTTCCAATCCTTTTTTGGCTTTTTGCAGCTGCTGAGCATTTGACTTTCAACCTTAACTTTGTTGTCTAGTACTTCATGTTGGAAATACTATGTAATTTTTTCACAGTGAGTTCCTGAAAAAGCATAGATTTGATCTGAATGTACGGTACACAAATCACAGAGCAATGAAACCATCCAGTGCTTTTAAAAGAAACCTCAATTAATTTCTGCAACTCTCCTGATTTCCTTCTAATAAACATGAATCTATTCCTTAGTACAATCTAACTGTGCATTAAAATCTGTTTATTTTCATTACAGCGTAGGGCCTGTGCAACTGGTCCTGCTGTTTCTTCTCCCAGTTTTGGCTGACATCTGTATATTAGATCATTAGGGAAAGAGTAAAATAAATTGGCTTCAGCTGCTTTTTAAAGTATTAGGTTATCTCTGAAAAGTGGTTTTCTCTTCACTTACCACTCATGCCTATCTCTTTCATGATTTTGTTAATAATTTGGGGTTTTTTTTAATATTGGAGTGTTTCCTCAGCCATCTTCTCTTGACAAAGCAAATGGTATAGAATCCAAACATGAATTTTCCTGTGTTTTGTGCCAAGAATACTGGCAAACCGTTCCAGATCAACCTCCTGGAAGTCAGACAAAATATCAGATTAAATTACCAAACCTTCTCTGGCCATGGAAGTTTTGCTTGGTCCAAGGGTGTGTCTGGGCTCTGACTTCAGAAAAACATTCTTCAGCAACAAGATGGAAAGTGTATATCTTTTATCAAGGCAAATAGGTCAGAGTCTAATCTCTACGTCTCCTGACTACTGGTATTGCAAGATTTTTTTTTAAATACTGTGCAGATAGTATTGACAAACCATATATATAAATATAATAATTTAATATTCACATTGATTATATACATCCAAAGTTTGGCTGATCAGGCCCTTCCTAAGCTTGGTTTGAATGATAAGAAAATACTTATTATTCCTTCTTCAGATAAAATAAGGCAAAACTGTTGAACAGTTAGGAGTGCTTGAATGTAGAGTGAAAATCTCTCAGATCATCCAAGTTCTCTGCCATTAACTTTGACACCCTAATCTGATAAATTTTTCCTGTATGAAAGGCTGAGTTACGACTTCTTGAAAGAGCCATATTTCACACACTCCATGAGAAGCTTTGGAAAAAATATTGCTTATAATCCCTTGCTTCTCTTTGCCAACTAATGTATAAGGAAACATAGAATGCAGAGCAAAGTATCAGAAGGATATAAATCCTTGGAAAAATGAAATGCAAGAAAGACATTTTTAAGTATCAATTTTAAACTCGGGTCTCCAAAAGTCACGAATAATGAGCAATGTTCTTTGAACAGAACACATGTATGTATTGAGAGTAGAGGAACCAGTGGATTTTCTCTGAAGTTTGGTTTGGTTTTTTTTTTTTTTGCAAAAACTCTCAGGAAGAAAGAGGTCATCAAACCTCTTCCCAGAGTTTGTATGATCAGACTGTAAAGTCAACACTAGATCTATTAGAATCAGCAGTGACTGAATTGCCCATGGGATTTCATCATTAACATTTATTCCCCTCTTGAGAATTTGTTTTCAGGAAGGGAGCAGTAGTGTATTTTATGGAAGGAAATTGTGAAAACTGGAGTTCCAGGTATGCTGTCTACACAAGTTGAAGCAGTGAGGCACTAAAGTAACCACAGAAGGGAGCAAAAGTCTAGAGGCAAAATGGCATAAAAGCAGAACCAAAAAAAGAGGTAATAAAAGGAAAGGGTTGTAGTTCTGGGTTTGAGCACTTCTTTGTTCAGCCCTTCTTGCTAAACACATAATTACCAATCTTACAGACTGAACTGTGTTAATCAAAAAGAGGTGGTGGTTAGTAGCAGCTCAGCAGTTGTGTGTAAATAGAGTTTTAGGTATTAAATGACAATTAAGGGCTGTTAAAAAGTAAATTAACAAGTGATGAACTAAGCCTCATGAGGGCTGGAAGGAAAGTAGTAAAGCTGAATTCAACCACAAACTACTAACTGCAAACAAACTACTGGCAGCATGTCTGCTTCCTAAAATACCTTCTTAACATCCTCTTTAACTCTTTTAAAAATGATGGAAGAAACTTGCAAAGAGCTATAGCACAATACTGAAACCTCTCTCTCAGCTTCTGTAACCAGCAAATCTGGAAAATGGGTTTCATTTTAAAAGGAAAATAGCAATCTAAAAATGGGATTATTCATATAAATTTCATCTCTACCTTATATGCTTACGCTTATGCTTCACCTGAGCAGTCTTGAC